ATTTCTTTTAATTCAATCAATCAATGTAATAAGTCAAGTTAAAGTGATTGCAATAGTTTTATTGTTTTACTTATATTTAGTATTTAATAGTTATGTACACTTATACTTGACTTCTTGCATTGATTGATTGTTTTTATTGTAATTTTAGTTTTTATGTAGCTGCAGTTTCTTCTGCTACAACAAGAAAGATGCTGTATTCACTTATACTTGATTCAATACATTGATTAATTGTTTTTATTATTATTATTATCATCATAATTTTAATATTAGATTTTTTATAAGTAGTATCTTTCCTCTAAATAATTTTATATATATATATATATATATATATATATATATATATATATATATATATATATATATATATATATATATATATATATATATATATATATATATATATATATATTTATATATATATATATATATATATATATATATTTATATATATATATATATATATTGGATTACATATGTAGTTGGCATTAGAACGACGATGATCTTAATTCTTACCTGAATACCACTATAACTGCTGTACATACCAGTATATACCAGTTTAGAATATCACTTTATATACAAGAATAATAGCATAGAATACACAGTATAATATATATAAAATTGTGTATAGTATATAAAAAATTGTGGAGAAAATCTTGCTCCTAAATCTTATCTTTTTTTCCAATACCTGATTGATATATATATATAAAATTTTTGATAATTTGGAGTATATTTACGGGAGGCTGTAATTTAAAATATTTCGCCCAGAGGCCACTCTTTCAAGCGGCGTTGCAAAAATAATTAATTTTCTGTCTTGTTGCTCACTTAAAAATCTTTTTTATATATTTTTTGACAACTGTGTCTATGATGAACTTGAGTTATTTTCTTGATTTATTTTATTTACTTTCACAAAAACATAATTATAAAAAATTTAATGTAATATCAACAAGATCTTCATTAAAAACCTAATAGCATCAATGCCAAGACTTTAACATAAACGTTAAAATAAACGTTATTGATGCAAAAGAAGAAATTATTTGTTATTAAAAAGTTTGTATGATGTATGACCAGGGCTGGGTTAATTACTTCGTGGCCTCCCGGCACTTTAGGCTTCCTGGCCTCTTTTGGCCATATAGAAAATATTTGTTAATAACTATAAATGAAAGATGTTTTTAATCGATTTTCTAAATTATTATAAATCACCTTATAAATAGAATAACCCTATTCAATGAAGTTTGTGAGAGTTGATGCGTTGATGTAATATAAGTTATACATTTTTTGAAGAAAGCTTTAGAAATCAACAGCAGCTCCGATGGATTCTGCAATACTCACTCCTACAAAGTTCAAATAGTGAGCAGCACACAGAACCTTTTCGACAAGAACGTTGATCTCTTTAACTCTTTCTTGTAAACCAAAGTAGATACCAGACATATTACTAGCATTGTCGTATGACTAGCCACAGCCATTTTGAATGTTGAACACTTACTAATCTAACTTTTCTTTGCAAATCTTTTTAGATAAGTATAACATTCAACTTTCTTTTTTGTTTCCATGAGTTATCAAATATTGGGCGAGAAAAGGATCAAATTTTACTAATAGCTCAATACATCCAATAAAGTTTCCGTTGCGTATCGATCCTTCTTTTTTGTCATATCCGCGGAATGATAATCCTACGAAAATGAGCAATGAATAAAGTATCCAATTATTTTAAATTTCTTTTTTCACCATTATGCTCGAACTTAAAAGTTCTTTCCAGTCGTTAAAAAACAAAAATGTTTTTTAACGACTTTTGAAGTTTGAACTTACGTCGTATGCGCTGTTATGTAAAGATTAAAATCTCTTAGACATAAGAGGAAGTCAAGGATAGAGGCCGCTAGTAATTTTTTTTTCAAATTTATCTCTCTCAAATATTCACTTAAATGCTCATGCCCCTTGAACTCCGTAGCCTCCCGGCACGTGTCCAGTGTGTTCAGTGGTTAAACCGGCACTGTGTACGACTCGGAGCAGTGATAAAACTTGCTGTAAGGGACTATAAAAAAAATAATTGAATATGTTTTGCTATTAATTAGATGATATTAAACAAGCTCTGATATTAATTTCTGTATGCAGTCTTATTTTAATTGGCTGAACTGTATATATATATGGAAATGTGTGTATACACCTTTAATCCTTTTATTTTACCACAACACATAAGTAATGTGCTTACTTGTTGCATTCACTACAAGAAATCAGGTTTTCAACACTTGTTGAGTAACTTTTATGCCAGTACAGACTAGGTGTGGCTTACTGAGACGTTTTCACCGTCTTTTTTTTTACAAAATGGAATGCCCAATGAAATTTTCATTTTTGTACAAACTGGAATACTCCACTAAAAAGTGTTAATTTGATGAAACAAAATTACAAACCTCATCTCATATTTACCTACATCAAACAAAAACATGCAAAGGAAAATATGAAAGTTCAGCAATAGCGGATAGAAAATTACCATGGTAATTTTGCATGGAATGAAACATGATGACGGAGGATAATTTTGCATGGAATGAAACAGGATGACGGACGACTACCTTTTGGAAACCAATGTTTGGATTTTCACATTAAAAAAAACATAAAAAAAGAAACAATTGCGTTAATTTTTTTTTGTTTTTATTTTGTTTTTAATGATTTTTATATAAACTAACACAGCTTTTCATGTGTGAGATTTTGTGACGAGATAAATCGTGGCTAAGTTGTTTCCTTACTCAAAACAAGTTTGCGTACAAAGAATAGTTTTTTCCAAGTACCCAGTTTTGTACCAGTTTTCGCTTTTGTTCTCAGGATGCATAAGTTTTAATTACATTCGTGTAACTCAATATTTTTAAAATTTTTTTTTGGCACTAATCTGAATATTTTTATTATTATTATTATTTTTGCTTATTTATTTAGCCGTACAAATATTTACAAGTTCCGTGTTTTATAATATATATAAAAATGGCAAGGACGAGAAGAAGACAGGTTGGCCTTATCACCAAGTCCCTTGTTTTTTTCAAGATATTTATATTAACTAAAATTAAAAATGAGAGTAAAAAGCAAAATATTTCAAAGAAGTTTATGCAAAATGCAAAGTAGTTTAATGGAGTCTTTCAAAGTTATTTTTAATAAAAGTTAATGTAATTAAAAATAAAGTAATTCAATCTCAATAACATGAAGATTAAATTCGGTATCGCATTGCTATTAACGATATCGCAATGCTATTTATATTAAAATTTCGAAGTTATTTATTGAAAGAAAATTTAATAATTCATTCAAGAAAACAAAAACCAACAGCAACAACAACAAAAAAAAAAACATGAAAAAATAAAAACATAAAAGTTAATTTACAATCAAAAGATACTATATATACATATACACACACACACACATATATGCAAAAACAAATTTATTTCCAATAACAGTGCAATCAATTAAGTCAAATTGTGGTTAAAATTATAGTTGGGATGTCTGTTTGTATTAATCAAATCATAAATGTTTTCATAGTTAAGCCATCTTTGGTTAATAAATATTTATTCCTAAGTTGTTCCATTTAAGACAACTCTCCCCTATATATATATATATATATATATATATATATATATATATATATATATATATATATATATATATATATATATCCCAGCCGGCATTATTACGTTGTTTCAACATTGAAATTCGGTTGAAGCGTTGTTTCAACGTTGTTCAACTATTTCACAACGTTAAATCAACGTTACCGTTTAAACGTTGATTATTTAACGTTATTTCAACGTTAAATCAACGTTACAGTTTAAACGTTGATTATTTAACGTTATTTCAACGTCATTGTTTCAATCATTGTTGACAAAAAATACGATATAAAATTTATGCGCGCGCAGAAATGGAATTAAAAGCGTAAACATAATTTCAACGGTTAAAGTTATAGAGATTTAAGATATAATAAAGTTATAGAGATTTTAGATATAATGGAAAAAAAATGTAATTACTGAACTTATACCATATAGAATTTTCAAGAGATCGAAAACATGTTCCGACGATTTTCCTGAAAGAACATTATCGTTTAAAAATCGATATTTTTTGTTTAACTTGGGCTACAATGCTCAAAGACTGATATTATTAAATGTAAATATAATACAACTTTTTCAAAAAATGATCCATTAAATTATGTTGAATTTAATGCTAAGCGTTGTTTTTTAATAGAGCATCAAGAATTAAAAAAGGAAATTGATAACTTTAAAAAAGAACTTCAGCACGAAATAAAAAAAAAAAGATTTATATGAAAAATTAACTTCAACCACATCAGTTATTACTATGAAAACAGACAAATTTGTATATAAACATAATCCAAACAAATCGTGTTATTGCAATTTACTTGTATACAAACATTTATTTTAAAAATAATAGATCTTGCGACTTTTATACTGGCCTTACATCTGTCAATGTGTTTCATCAGTTAGTGCAGTATCACCATTAATCAAAAGAGATAAAGTGATATTAAAAAAAAACATTTACTTCTGTTTTTTGAAATTTAAAAAAATCTTTAACTACTTGGACCAAAATAAATGTAATGCAGCAAATATGAATTTTTAATGATGCTAATACTTGGATTATTGACAGCTGATTTTGCTGACAGGTTTAATATATTTTTAGGATTAGAATGCAATATTTTCTTCATTGTTAAAAGCTTCTAGCTCACTTTTAAACCACATGGTTTTTGTTCCAAGTAAAGATGTTATAAGACAGGCAATGCAAAACAGATTTTAGAAATTAAATTATTCAGACTAACACTAAATTTCAGATATAACAGAATTTATTATGGAAACACCTTAAAATTTTGACTTACAGAAACTAACAGGGAATGAATACAAACATTACAACAATATAAAAACATTAGTACCCATAGCTCCAAATTCATCAATAATTTCTTTAAAAAATTTCTAAAGCTTACAGAAGCTAAATTTTGGATAAAAAAATTGCATATCGCAACAACTATTTAGATTGTATTACAAAATACTCTTGTATAATGTATGATTAAGGCTTTAAAATTAATTTTTAATACAAATGAAGTGATTTTAATTGAATCCATTTTTATCAGTCACTTTAAAAATATGATGAGTATTTGTATAAAGATAATTAAAATTTCAAACAATAATATTAGCTTTACTTGTTGTTGTTTTTTAGGTGAATCAATTGCAATTGATGGAATATCTTTAAAATGCTGAGGTAATCAAAATAATTTTTAATTATTCAGGAATTTTAAGGATTAAATTATTTAGCAAAAAAATTGTTTGATAATGAGTTCAATTTAAATTAAAAAAAAAATTAATATTAGTTCTCGCATAATTAATATCAGTTCTCTTAATAAGAGAACTGATAAGAGTCTTATCAGAACTGATAAGAGTCTTATCTATTAAAATTTAGAATATTTTCCAACAATTTTGTGATCTCCATAAATATGAAGTGGAAAGGTGGAAATATGCTTTAAGAGCACTAATTTATATGGTGTAGTGAAAGGTATACCTTTATAAGATATGAAAAACTTTTTTATTCTCATTTTTTATATATTCAAAAATTTCTCCTTGTGTTTTTTTTTTTTTTAACTCTTTTTTATTAACAGCTTCTTCTATTAAATACGATGGAACGACTGAAACTTTAATTGATGGCATTTTGTCTAACTTCTAAAAATGTGCTTCATTTCGAAAAGGTGGCGGAAAAGAAAAAAATTTAGATTGATTGATATAAATTTATATTTATAAAAATCAATCTAAAATTTCTTTATTGAAATATTTACATATATTTCAATAAAGAAATATTTTCTTTTTGTCTGCTAATATTTTTTTTCTCAGTGTTAATTCAACATTACAAATTAAAACTCAATTATGAAAAAAGTCTAGAATTGAGTTGATGTTTTAAGTAAAATAAGAAAAGCCCAAAAAGTAACTGATGTAATATTTTTATTTTTTGATAAAAAAAAAATTCCAATAATGTTTAAAATTGGTATTAATATTAATGTTTATTAGATGAAGATGAGTGAAAAATAAGTAATGTTTATTAGATAAAGATAAGTAAAAAAATAAGTTACAAGTTATTTTTTGATCTTGAAAATTGTTTGAATGATAATTTATTATTTATCAAAGTATTTTCTTTTTTAATTTTTGTTGTTTTTATATTTTAATTAAAAGTCGATATTATTGTGTTATATATTATAATATACCTTAAATTATACTATTATATTTTATATTAATAATGAGTATTTTTGTTTTTTTGTATTTCTATTTTTTTTCAATATTCCATAATTATCTTATGTAGATGTTTATGTTTTAGCAACCTAGTATTCTTTCATTATTTGTCTTTGTTATTGAGCCTTAAGTTATTTGAACATAATATATTCAGAACTCTGCTGAATAATAGAGTAATAAATAAATTAATAAAAATGAGTTTAAAATATTATAAATTTATAAAATAAAGAAAATCTTATCTTTGCTTATAATGTCTACTAATATTATTGTTTAGCAAGTATCATGGTTATAAAATGTTCAAATTTAGCTAGTTTAATTAGGCCTGTTAGTACACTTATATTACAGTTTCTTCATTTTATATTAGTTCATGTAATTTTTTCAAAATCGAATATGTGGAAAGGAGCTGTTTGGAATGAAGATTTACAAGAAGAAGTAATTCCATCTAATTGAATTAGTGATAAAAATGTGTGTCGGCTTCCAGTTACCAAAGCATTGACTGCACTAAAATGCAGAGAAAAATTGGCTTAAGTTTATACAAATAAAAACTAAATTCTCTTCAGGTATTACATCTATATATTACAATTTTTATTTTTTAAATAATGTGGTAAAAAGAGTTATTTTGTTGATACAAAATATGTAACTATTTGTATAACTATTTCAATTCTAAAAGAAAGCAAACAGTATTGTGAAAATTTTAAATTCACAACTACAAAAGAAAAATGTGATAATGAGAATGTTGACAAGTGGATGCAAGATTTGCACACAAGTGGAAACTTGGATGCAAATTTTCCATTTGTGTGGTTTGGATGGTTCTCCACAATATAATATATCCCCACAAGCATAATATTAGATTTACTTCATGTTTTTACAGAGAAATCAATTACAGTTAATTGGTGGAGTTACCTCATTTATAATCAGGGTGTCTGCAGCTCCTTTAAAATCATCTAAAATCCTCTTTTTTTTTAAACCACTTCTAAAATCCTCTATTATTCTCTAAAAAGGTAAAAATTTGATCAAAGCTCCTCATTAATTCTTCCTTTTTTTAATTTTTGATGGATGTATAATGTTCAAAATACCCATTCTCGGTCTGCAAAACTGGTTAACGCCTTAAAGTGCATGGAATTGTAAAAAATTGCTTTAGAAAATGCATGCTATTTAACATAACAAATGACATTATTTGATCCCTGTCCAAGCCCCATAAGTGTATAAACATGGAAGTTAAACCATTAATAAATAGCCACATAAAGTTTCTTATAAAAATTTTATGTGGCCACCCCGAAAACTATTTTTCAATGCTAGAAATGTTTTATATTTTGATTATTAATTTATTTTTAATATATTAAAAAGGTTGTTTTATTTAAATTAAATATTTGAAAAAGTTATTAATAACCAACTAACAGTTATATTATTTTTTAAAAACTCAGAGTATTTTCGAAAAGTTATATGGCCTCCATGGATATGAAGGGCAAAGGTGGAAAAATATGTTTGAAGAACATTAATCTATATGGCGTTGAAAAAGATAAACCTTCATAAGTTGTAACACTTTTCCATTCATTATTTATTTTTTAAATCTTCCCTTTTTTTTTTTTTTTTTATATATTTTTTTATTTACAGCTTCTTATATTGTACTCAATGGACCAAAAGGACCCTCGGTTAATGGAACATTGTTTGACTTTCTAAATTACGCTTTATTTCAAAAAGTTGGTGGAAAAGAGAAGAAATTTGTGTAGATTTTATTCAATTACATGTAAATATATGTAATATTTGAATATGTATTTTTGAATAAAACAAGTTTATCTCTTTCTTTAATCATACCTAGCTATTTTAACTAAACTAAACTGAAAAATTTCTAAATAGTCTAAGTATAGACTATGAATAGATTTAATATCCATAATATACCTTGATAATGTACAGCAACACTAATGTACATGCATAGTACGTTTTGATGGTGATCATATTTTGACGCACATAGCACGTTTACATACATATATACATTTTGACATACATTGCACGTTTTGATGGTGAAAAAGTATTTTACAGTCGTTTAACGTTGATAAATCAACGTTAAAAAAACTATCATTTTAAACTTTGTATCAACGTAAATTCAACGTTGTTGTAACGTTTTTTCGCGTCGAATTAACGTTGATATAACGTTTGAATCTAACGTTGATTTAACGTTGATAAATCAACGTTGAAAAAAACTTTCATTCTAGACGTTAAATCAACGTAAATTCAACTTTAGGTTTCAACGATATTTCAACGTTATTTGCCGGCTGGGTAGGTCCTCTAATAGTTATCGAGAACTTGGTGAACTCATATATAGTTTTAGGTTGAACAAAGTTGTTATTTGAAAATTTAGTCATGCATTTGTGTTGAATTTTATTAAATAATGATTTGAAGATATTTGGTATTGTATCAGGGGCGGATCCAGCATTTTTTGGTTGTAGAGATAGCTAACTTACGGGCATGGAGCAAACTCCAAACATTTATATGTTTATACCTTTGTCAAATAAAGATGTTTTGCAAAAAATTGCAATGATTAGAACCTGGGAACAAAAAAGCCCTAAAATTTAGCTACACCTGCCCCAAATGTGAGAGCAACAAGTAGATAAAATAATTTTTATACTATTCTTAACTAAATCTATATTCATCGATAAATTTTAAAAATCACACGATAATCTATTAGCGTTCATCAGTTATGGCCTTATAAAAATTGCAACCCCCTCAAATTGAGGGGATTAAAACTTTTTATTGTCATAGTTTTTGAACGCTAAAAGATTTTTTGTTTGAATTTTAAAATTTGTCGATGAATATAGATTTAGTTAAGAATAGTATAAAAATTATTTTATCAACTTGTTGCTCTCACATTTGGGGCAGGTGTAGCTAAATTTTAGGGCTTTTTTGTTCCCAGGCTCCAATCATTGCATTTTTTTGCAAAGCATTCTTATTTGACAAAGGTATAAACATATAAATGTTTGGAGTTTGCTCCATGTCCGGAATTTAGCTATCTCAATAATCAAAAAATGCTGCATTCGCCCCTGCTGTATTATTATTAGTTTCATACATAAAAATTAGCAGATGATATATTTAATTGGTACAAATTTAATATTTCTAGATTGTTTTTGTAACAAAAATATAAATTTTTTAATCTTTTTGAAACCTACAAAATTGTATTAACTAACGTTTTTATTTACTTGACAAAGGTAGTTTAAACGCTTAAGGTAATTAGTGGTAAGTTGTTTAATTACTTATTTATTTGTAATACAAAAAGAAAAGGGGCTTTACTCTTTTAAGCTTTCTTTTACTTTTCTCCATAGCTTTCTTTTATGATTTTCTTGTAAATTTATTGTAAAAGTTGAAAAAGAAAAAGGTCTCTGATTGTTTTATGGGAGCCTTCTTTTTCTCTTTTTTTTTTTTTTTTTTTTCTTTAAAAAAAAAAAATTGTTATTTGAAATTAATAAATTTAATGATTGGTAAAACTTTCTATTTTTTGTTCAACAATTTATTATAACTTTTTTTTTCATTTTGAATTTTCCAAAACCCAATTTATTTGGATCCCTCCTTTTGCTTATGAATTGAAGATCAATAATCAAAAAGTTGAATAATTAACATGTTTTAAAGTTACAAAACCAGATTTTATAAAATGAATAAAAAAAAAAAAACATAAAAAAGTTTAAAATGGTCCTACTGGTTTTAGAACTTACGTAAACTTTTTCTTAGACAGAAGTTTGTATTTACAAATTTTTAAAAAACTTTTATTTCATGACCATTTAAAAAAACGTTATTTCATCACCGTTAAAAAAACTTTTATTTCATGAGTTTTTAAATACTTTATGTTTACTTTCATTAATTGCTCTTCAGAAAATGAAAAAAAAAAACAACAAACAAACTGAATTTTAATAAAAAAAAGTTTGCGCTGATAAAATTTCACACTTTTTTCTATATGATAATATAGACAAACAACTTATATTTTGAGGAAATAAAAGATTTTTTTTGTTTAATACATAAAATTTACTTTTTATGTTGTTTTATTCATTTTAAGAAAAAATGTGAAAAGTGTAAGCTAATTTTATGTAAAAAGATCGCGCAAAATTTTTTATTGATGGTCGTTTCTCTATTTCATTCTCAGACCACATTCTTGAAACATTTGGTTAACTAATTACCATATCCTAAATAGAGTATGGCGATCCTAAATCTACCCAAAACGGGGAATCAGATTTACTAAGCTTTACATTAATGCGTATTCTATTTTCAATCTTAGATAAATACCCAGCTAACAAAACATGCTACGTGTTAAAATCGTTAATAAAAATTATTTCTATTAATATTAGCAGAAAGGTTAAAAGTGCTAAAGTTTCTTCAGATATATGTTAACTAAATACGTCAATAAAAAAAATATTTTTTCATACTCCGTTTACAATCCCATTTTATTTACCATGTTTTCTTAATTTGCATATGGTAAATGAGACATTTCTTTGAAGAACGTGAGCATTTTTATTATTTAAAATAATCATTTCATATTTTGCATTAAGTAGAATTAGATGCGCGTATTTTCAAATTTGAATTAAAATTGCGCGCATCCGACGCTATTCTGAACCGTTACCTTGACTAAAAGAAACATTAAAATTTTTTTGCTTGCTGTTGTTTAACATTTTTCGGTTGCAGTTATTTATTAATCTTCCTGTTATTATTTTCATTTTATTGCTTTAATAACTTTTATTTTTCAAATAAACTTTCTTGTTCGTAATTTGGGAATAATTTTAATGCACTAGCTGCCACTGCGTTTAAATTTAAACGTAACACTGTGTTTAAAGTAAACGTTACTCGGAAGAAAAGTTTTAACTTTTTTAAACTACCAGCTAGTTGTATTAGATAAAAGTAACTTTGATTTTGCAATACTATTTATAGGCGACTGTAACGTAGTTTAATTAGGTTCTTTTAACATTATTTTGCGTGACAACCTCACTAAGGTCATTAAATTAAAATTTAAACACCTACTTGACTTCGCTGAGCTCCTCAAAAAAAACAGCAATCCAGGAAAAGAAGAATGCTGATGAGCTGCATGAAATCCAGGCTGCTTTTGTTAGGCTTGGTAAGGTTCTTAACAAGTTATCACTCTACCCCCTGAATCAACATGATAACTAGAGGGCATTGAGCAATCACAGTTGGAAGGTAATATGAAGATAATGAAGTTAATTGCAAAAATAAGTAAAATGATTACATCTTTTTTTAATGTATATTTTTTTGATTTTAATTTTTTAAATTTTATTTACAGGATTACATTTTGAACTTATATATGAGTCAGTCTTTAAAAGTTGTTAGAACTACTTTAATTAAAAGAAAATAGATAAGCTCTCGTTCCTCAACAACGCAGTGATGAGGGTCTTGAGATCAAACATTAATTTGAGAGAGACTTGCATGATGGATTTTTGCTTTGACTACAGACTGTTGGACTGAATGAGAGGCCCTTTATATCTTTAGCTCTTCGCTACATATTACAGC